GGCAGTGATGGGGACTAGAGAGGCATCCTCCTCAGAGTCAGCTGGGTCCCCTGGTACCAGCAACACCCCCAGTGCCACACACTTCAAACAGCAGCTTTTGCCTGCGCCCAGCCCAGGCTATCCACACACACATTAACCCTTTCCTGGGGTCCTCCATACTGGAATCCCTTCCCCTCCAGACCCCCGAAATCCTCCTGGAGACAGAGCCGGGAAGGGGCTTCTCTGCCTGCCCTTCCTTCATCACTCCTGCCCTAATTAGTATTCCAAGGAGAGCCCTCTCGGCAGGCCCCAGGATTTGTTTGCCGGCCGGCCAGTTCCCTGTCTCCCCAGTTCAGAATGAGTAATTCCGTCCCTCCCAGGCCCATTTAAGGGAGTGAATAATTAGTTACATTCAATTAGACCTCTTGCTGCTACAGTGGCTCCTGCCTGCCTCACTTGGGGGGACAGGCTAGCTAATGAGACAGCACACGTCTGACACAGGGGAGCGGGTGTTAAACACAGCCGACCCCCTCGGCCCTCGGTGGGGTGCAGAGGGCTTGTTGAAGGAAACAACCAGGGCCAGAGATGTCAGGGATGGAGGCAGGAGAGGAGTAGAGGGGATGGATGGAAATGGAAGACAGGAGGAGAGAGAGAGAGAGAGAATGAAAACGCACCCAGGAGGCTCCAGAGGGGGACCAGGAGAGGAGAGAAGTGTGTCTTGCAACCTTCATGTGCCCAGCAACATGGGGGTTCCCCGGGGAGTCAGGAGCCCTGCCATGCAATTAAAACATGCTGTCGATCTATATGTTTATGGGCATGGAGAGACGGCTGGTGTATCCCACCAAGCAAAGAAGGCTGCTTACAAAACAGTGCATATAATAATATCTCGAGTTTAAAAACTATTTCTGGCACAAAAAGCAATTCTGAAAGGCCCATACCTTATGATTGGCAGGATGGTGGGAGGCTTACAGGTGGCCCTGTTTTCCTGGCCCTGTTTATTGCTTGGATGGGGGTGTGATGCGGGAGTACGACTTTTATAATTAGCCAAAACAATAACACTTGTTCGAAAGAGAACCCGGGTGAGGCAGAGGAGCTGGAGATGAAGGAGGTGGGCAGGAAGTGGGAAGGATGGAGCAGAGGACCAGACAGTCCCAGGAGGGAGTGGGAGGGAGGCCTGGGGTGAGGAGGAGGCAGGGGGTGGGCTGAGTGCCAAAGCCCCCCGCAGGGCCAGTATGCAGAGGGGGGAGGGAGGCAGGCAGGAGGCCTGGTGACAGAGAAGAGAGCATGGGGAGAAAGGATGGCCCCCAGCCCACTGGCCCTGGGGCAGAATCTACTGGTTGATCTTTCTAGAACCCCTATTTTACCACACCCATAGTCTCAGGGAAGTCTCCTTCAGGAACTGCCTCCCCACCCCAAACTGCAGCATGATTCCCCACCCCTCGTTTGAAATTAAAACTGCATCTCCCCACCCCTGAAGATGGGTTTGTAATTTTCTATGCCCGACTGACTCCAGGGGAGAGCAATCCTCCGGGGCACAGCCTTTAATAACTTCTGCTGCCCGAGGAACCACTGCAAGGCCTGAGTCTGCAAGAGGGTATCTGCATGCACACGCCTGCAGATTGCCCACCTCGGGGTCCATTGTGCCTAGTCAGCCCGCCCAAAAGTGGTACCTAAGCCTTGGGCCCAGGTCGCCATGCACCAGTACAGACTAAGCCCTCAGGGTTCCATCCAACCTCCTGGATAGCAGAGGATGGAGACAACATGCTCAGAACATTCTACCTGACCTGGCTCAGGTTCCTATTAGACTTCACACACACACACACACACACACACACACACACACACACACGACTGTACACAGTGAGATTCCCAGTCTTTCCATCCCACACCCTCTGTGTCATGATTTCTTTGGCAATTACCAAGATCTTTTTAATTATGGAATTAGCTGCATTTGCGTGTTGGGAAACACACATAACTCTCATTCCTCCTCCTGGGATGCTCTGGGAAGAGCCAATAGAGTTTGCCCCAGAGGAGGGATCCTGACCCAAGTAGCCTCATCCTCTCTAGTCTCCAGCTCCACCTCCCTACTGGTTGGTTGCCCAGCTCAGACTCCATCTGCCCCAGGCACGCACTGTCAGAATGGGAGTGAACTTAGACCCAGATCTCAGCTCTAACAAGTTGTTTGACCTCTAAGCCCCGTCTGTGAAATGGGTGCAGTAAGAGACCACACCTCCCACTGAGAGGTCAGTCTGAAACTGCCGAGTGAATGCAGCAGGGGACAGACCTCGTCTCCAAAGCATGGGTCCGGTGCAGAGCCAGTTCAAAGCAGAGCCAGCGTCCGCCCAGGACTGCCAAGCAGCAACCAAGGACTTTAGGATGGTACCTTGCCGCCACCTGCTGGCCACTGCCAGCCTCACAGCCACCCCTCCATCAGCCACAGGAGGAGCAACCCTAACACAAGCGAAGAGGCTGGTCCTCCCTACAATATTCAGGCTGAGCAGGACCCTTAGGGAACCAGTCTTTCATCAGGGATATGTGACAGACGTCCACACTGCAGAGGAACCCCCGGTATTGCAGACAGCTCGTGGCCAAGCTGTGTTAGAACCAGAGTTTGCTCACCTCTTCCCTCTGGGAGGGATGCTAGGAGATACAAAAGCTACATTCCAATGCTTGGTTCTGCAGACTTTCAGAGGAAACTTCCAGAAGCGGACCAGAGACAGGAATGGAGGCGGGTAGTGGTGTCAGAGCGTGGAGCCAGGGAGCAGTAGAGAGGAATCAAACCTAGAAAGCAGCACACAGGAAGCAGCGGAGACACCCCTTGGGGCTGGGATGCAGCTCAGCTGACGTAGTACTTCCCTGACACACATAAAGCCCAGGGTTCAGACCGTAGAAGTACATTAAATTGGACGTGGTGGTACATGCATATAAACCCAGCACCGGATGATCAGAAGTCCAAATCCATCCTCTGCTATGTGATGAGTTTCAGGCCAGCCTGGGCCATATAAGACCCTGTCTCAACTCGGTTGGACTGAGAGTATGTGCTCCCAGACACTAACTCTCCCAGCTGTCCCCAGCCTGGCCTACAGCCACAGCAGGCAAGTATTCAGGACAGGGGAAGCCCCAGGCATCGATCCCGAAGCCAACAGGAAACCCACTGCCTAGTCAGCAGTGTGAGTGCCAAGGGCAGCTGTTCTCCAAGTATGTTCTCTGATCCTGTAGCATCAGGACCACCTGGGGAACTTGCTAGAAATGCAAATTCTTAATCTTAGTCCCAGATCTGAACCAGAAACATGGGAGGTAGGGCCCAGCAATCTGTCGCTCTGCAAACCTCACAGTTGGTCACTGTGTCCCCTCAAATGCAAGAACCTCTAACCTAGAGGAGAGCAACCATCACCTGCCATAAGGATGTGGCAGCTGTCCTCCATCAGGAAAAGAAACTGGAAAGTGAAGGAGTGGCAGTGACTCACCCAAGGTTACTTGGATAACAGGTGGCAGATGGGTCTTTTGCCTCTATCCAACACACGTGTGTGTGCACACACACACACACACACACACACACACACACACACACACACACACACACACACCACACCACCACCATGGTCAGTGCCACTAACATTTGAGCTCTAGGCAGGGAAAGAGGATTAGGTCCCAGAGTTCCCCTCCCCCATCTGCTTTCTAAACTGGAGCTTCCACCTGGTGCCTCCAAATGGTCCTGGAAGCTCTTCCGGGAAGACTGCCAAAGCCAGGTGTCCTTCTCTTGGCTTTCAGCGGCACCCCCCATCCCCAGCCTCCATCAGGACCAGCCATTGCCATCCCCACCCTCCAAGTAGTGGGAACTCCAGGGGGATCCACAACTGTCTGAGACCCATGAGTTAAACCTCAATGAGAATCTGCAGGAGTCTTTCTGAGGCGCTTCCTGGGCATGGCTCTTCCTCGCCCCCCCTCCCCTTGTCCCCCAGCCTCCTCGGCTCCCACTCCATCTGCTGCTCCTCCTGGCTAGGCTCCTCCTCAGTTGGCACAGCAGGAAAAGAGAACAGGATGGTCTATTTTTATCCTGAGATGCTGTCGTGGGGCAGGAGAGGGCGCCATCTGACTAGGAAGCATTGGGAAGATCAGAAGGAAGTGGGGACCTAAGGGTCTCCCTGGAAACTGTTGTCCAGGGTGGCTAGGTTCTGGTAGGCAGAGAGGCAGATCTCGGAGCAGCTTGGAATCGAGAGTGAGGGCTCATGGGCCACTGCACACCACTGCACACCACTGTGGCACCGTTGGCAAATAGCTCCCCCTCTCTGAACCCATTCCCGCCCCTGTAAAACGGGAAGGATACAGACCCTGCGTGCCCTGGAAGGCTGCTTCTGTGAACCTGAAGCCTTGCAAATTCACTGAATGTGCTGAATGTGAGCACACAGGCAAATTCCCTGGAGGCACAGCAGTCTGGGGACACTTTTTTTTTTTTTTCCCCTGAGGCTGGGTTTCTCTGTGTAGCCCTGGCTGTCCTGGAACTCCCTCTGTAGATTAGGCTGGCTTCAAACTCACAGAGATCCGCCTGCCTCTGCCTCCCAAGTGCTGGGATTAAAGACTTGCACCACCACCACCTGGCAATCTGGGGACACTCCTACCTGAGCTCAGAAAACACCCTAGTTCTTGTAGTCTAATAGCAAATCAAATATCTCATGGCCTGGCATGTCTACCATTAGTCTCCGTTGTACACATTTGATGTTTTTTTTTTAATTATGTAAGCATTGAATGAATCTACTGTCCTCTTGGAAAAATAAAGAAACATTATGGGAAACCTAACACACATACACACAAACCTGCCCCCAGACTCATCACTCTTAAAAAAAAAATTAGTTCATTTATGTTATGTGTACAAGTGTTTTGCCTGTGTGGCATGTATGTGTATCACATATGTTCAGTGTCCGTAGATGTCGGAAGAGGGCATCAGATGCCCTGAAACTGGATGGCTTGTGAGCCTCTATGTGGGTGCTGGAGACCAAGGCAAGGCCCTCTGCAGGAGCTGTTGCTCCTAACCACTGAGCCACCTCTCCAGACCCACTCTTGCAGTCGGGGTTTTCAGTGCTTCATCTGGAATCTTTGTTTCGCCCACACGTGTAATGTGTCCCATTCACAGTATCATAGCTTTCCTTCCCTATCTATACATACTGTACTCAAGTATAATGTACAGCCCACTTACATACCACCATATAGTATGTAGATACTGCTTAAGGGCGTGTGAGGGCTTTGTGTGCTTCATTCTGCTTGTTGGGAGGAGTTGTTGTTCTTTAGTGTTTATTTGTTTAGTTTTGGTTTTAATTTTTTCGAGACACGGTTTCTATGTATAGCCCTGGGTGTCCTGGAACTCACTCTGTAGACCAGGCTGGCCTTGAACTCACAGACATCCACCTGCCTCTGAGTCTCTATTGATGGGATTAAAGGCGTGTGTCACCACCACCCAGCACATGTTTGTTTTTGAGATAGTATCATGTAGCCTTGAATACACTATGTATTCAAGACTGGCCTTGAACTCCTGGTCTTCCTGCCTCTTCCTCCTGAGTGCTGGGATTACAGGCATGAACCACCACACCCATCTTAGGGTATGCACGTACACACACATGCATGCATGCATGAACATGTAGCACAGAGTGCATGTGGAGGTCAAATGTCAGCCCTCTGAATTTGATTATCTCCTTTTACCATGTAGTCCCAGGGATTCAAATCAGGTAATCAGACTTTGGTGGCAAGAGCCTTTATCTACAAAAGCCCTCTTACCTGCCTGGGCATGTTTTTAAAAGCCATTTCTCCACCCATCATTCCACTGCCTGTTTCTGTTGTTGTTGTTTGGTTTTTTGTTGTTGTTTTTTTTTTTTTGTCCCACCTACTAGCATTTCTGAGATCCTGTTATATAAATATATTACAGATTTATTTAGCCAGTCCCTGCGGATGGGCAATCAGGTGCCTTCTAACAGCACAAGCCACAAAGCCACAGACTCTGGAGTCCATGCCTCCTTACAGTAGTGAAAGCTGCCACGATACACTCCGGGTCCTGCAACTGCTGCACTCTGTGGATATCACTGTGGACCCTTGATGCCCGAGCTTTCCCTCCATCTTCAGAAGCCAAGTCGAGGGATACGACGGCGGCGGCGGCGGCGGCGGCGGCGGCGGCAGCGGCGGGCCAGGCACGAGAGTTCACTGCAGCGGGCTGCGTCTTCGCTCCTCTCAAACCTCAAACATCAGCAGCCATCTGAGCCAGGCCCTTGCCGTTGCCCCTGCAACAGCTCCAGGATCTCAGACCAGGTGCTTCACGTCCATGCTGCCCGTCAGCTGCCTCTCCTGCACTGAGATGCGGCTCTCCTTGCCATCCTCCTGTGCGACAGGCTGACACCCATGCAGGGTCTCCTGCACTGGAGCAGTGTCTATCTCCACAGGACCTTTCCATTCATCCGTGGGTGGGGCCTGGGGAGTCAGGGTGTGAGATCCAAGGTCACCCCTAGCCACAGGGCTATTCTGCCTCCAAGTCCCTTCCCCTTATTTTGTGTTGGGGGGGAGGGGTATCAAAGCTGATTTCTTGGATACCTTCTGCCCCCTGCTGGAAACATGAAATTTGGCAAGGAACTTCCAGAGTCAGAACCAGCTAGCGGAAGAAGCTGACCCTCTGGTTCCACCTACTGGCCCCTAAAAAAGGCGGGACTTCCCTAAGTTCAATGCCGGAGGGAAGCACGGCCAGGGTTACTCTGCCCATGGTGCCCAGCTCCTCCCAGTGGGTAAGTGATTAGGTTGGAGGATGGAATAAAGACCCTGATTCAGGGCTGGGTAGGGGTAAGAGTAGCCGACTGTCACCTTACTGGTCCCAGGGACAAACCCTTAGCCTGTTTTCCTGTGTGTGTGTGTGTGTGTGTGTGTGTGTGTGTGTGTGTGTGTGTGTGTGTGTGTGCGCTCAAGCACGCATATGTACACATGGAGTGTGGCACTGGGTGTACGTGCACGTGCCCATATATGCACTAATGGAGGCCAGAGGTCGATGTCACTCTCCACCTTATTTACTGAGTCAGGGTTTCTCTGGGAACCTCATGATCGGCCGGCTAGCAAGCTCTGTAGTGCATCTGCCAGCACTGGTGTTACAGGCTTTTTTCATAGGTATTGGATCCTGATTCGGGTTCCTGTGCTTATGGAGCAAGCACTTTGCCCACTGAGTAGTCGTCTGTCTCCCTGCACCATGAGCTTCCCTACCTGCCCACTCTTCCCAGCGTCTCTCCCTCAAGGATGGCTTACCTTATTATCCTCTGGTTCCTTGATCACCTTTTCTAGAAAGAAAAAGGAGGGGTGGGACATTGGGAGGGCAGGTCAGGATCAACCACCAGCTGGTTCTGCACAGCTGAGCCCTCCTCCCTTTCTCTCCCACTTGGGCACTCACTGATACAGAAATACACCGGCACGAAGACGGCGATGAGGATGACCACCATGAGGGGGATGACCAGGAGGGCTCGCATCCGGGGCTGCAAACCTGGAGAAACAGTCCTGAGTGGGGCCACTGGCAGATGCTCCCACTCCTTGTCCAAAGCAGCTGCATCCTCTAGCATCTGGACCTTGTGATGTCAGAGCTTTCAAGCAGAAGCATTGTGGGTAATGTTGCATTAGGGGACCTTTTTAAATGCTTTGTGATATTTGCCAATGTTTATGAATTGAGAGATTCCATATTGGGGCGGGGGGGGGGGATATAGTGTATGTGGGTCTGGTATATGTGCACGTCTGTGCATCTGTGCACACATTCAGAGGCCAGAGAAGGATGCTGGTACCCTACTCTGTCACATGTCACCTTCTACTGAGACAGAGTCTCTCACTGAGCCTGGAGCTAGTCCGGCAGCCCAGAAGCTACAGCAATTCTCTCCTTCTCAGTCCCCCCCATAGCATTGGGGTCACAATCACATGTGGTTCATGCTTGCACAATAAACACGCTTACCCTTTAAACCATCTCTCTAGCCATGGGAGATTCCAGTTGGGAGGATCAGCCCCAGTGAGCCAACTTCCCACCTGGCACTCAGCAGCTGTGTGGTGTAGGGAAAGCCCGCCCGCCCGCCCGCCTGTTTCTCACACTCCCTGCTCTCTTCCCTAGGCTGCGGCTGTTCACCTCCAGTGTCTGCATTGTGCAAGTGTGGAGGAGGGAAATAAAGTATCTCTTGTCTAAATCGCTATTCTAAGTGACAAAGAAAAAAGACCAACAGGCAGGTGGCCTCAGAAGCAAGGGGTGCAACCACTTCCCCACAAAAATTAAGGAGACGCAAACAAACCCAATCATCAAGGTTAAGTCCTCTTTGAGACAGGGTCTCACTAAGTGACTCAGGCTGGCCTTGAACTTGGGGTTCTCATTGCCTCAGCCCCCCGAGTGCTGAGACTGTAGGTCTGTACCACCACACCCACCTGAGAGGTAGGGAGGCAAACACCAACAGAACACTGGCCCATAGGCGGCTACCTGGCTTTTAAACTTGTATTGGAACCAGAGCCAAAATTAGAATGACACACGCAGGGTCACGCATCTGGCAAGTGTAGTGGGTAGCTGTTCCAGCTTTGACCTGGAAGGACTACCCCCAGTGAGGCTTCGGTAACTGTCACACCTAAAAGGTGACAGGAGCCCTTAAGACCCGAGATCCGGATGGGCTGGCTCTCTTGGTTCCTGGATCCTGGACGCTGGAGGTAGATTGAGCAGAGTTTTCCAGAGAACACTGCTGGACTGCACTACACCTTTCCCAGACCCTGTAACCTCTCCCTTCACTTGTAAGTTACCCCCACAAAGTCAGCCTCCCTTTTAACTACGTGCAGTTGCCTTAACACTACAACCAATAGGCAAGGCCATCTCCTACTTGATTTTAAAATTTGCTCTTTTGTTAATCGCAGGGTTTTTTTCTTTAACATTTGTTTTTTATTTTTTCTAATATCATTTCAAAATGTTTTTTTCCTCTTGCTTATTGTCCTTTTACAATAGTTTGCTTACATGTTACATGTGAGCTCAAGTGCTTTTCCCATTCCATTCCAGTCACATCTTTCCAAGAGAACAAAGTCAATTTTGAGAAAAAGCAAAGAGACTGCAATTTTATTTTTATTTTCCTTTTTGGCACTGGGGATCAAACCCAGGACCTCACACAGCTAGACTAGTGTGGGGGTCTAACGCAGGACCTCACACATGCTAGACTAGTGTGGGGGTCTAACCCAGGACCTCACATATGCTAGACTAGTGTGGGGGTCTAACCCAGGACCTCACATAGCTAAACAAGTGTGGAAACCTGAGTCGTCAGGCTTTCAGGACAAGAGTTTACCTTCCTGAGCCATTTCAGTAACCCTCTTTCTACTTTCTGTGTTGAGACATTGTCTTCCCAAGCTGCTCAGGCTAGCTTTGAACTTGCAAAATTCTTTCCTCAGCTTCCTAAGTGGCTGTGCTAAAAGGCCCCCTCACCAGACTTTACCCATCTCTTTCTTCACATTCAGTGACAGCCCAGACCCTGTTGTTATCTGCGGTTGTGATGCATGCAGCTGGTCAAGCTTCCCATCCTAGCATCCAACCCGAGGCTAACAGGTGACAGTGTCACAGTGCACCCGTATCTCAGTCGAGGGGCAGCAGAACAGCAGTTTCCAAATGGTAAAATTCCATGCCAGACACTCACACCACACAAGTAAGGGGGTGCGCTGCTGTCAACCCATTTCACAGTTGAAGAAACTGAGGCTCACACCGGGAATGTGATTCATCCAGCTCTCAAGACAGGAGCTGCCTCTTGCTCTCACTCCTACCCCAGTGTTCCTATGTGACTCGGTCTCCCCTTTCAGCTCCCTTCCCAAACAACTGGCCTGACTCATTCTCCCCTGAACTTACCACAGACAGCATCAGTCTGATTCGTCCCTTCCTGGAGTACCGCCATCTTTTTGGCCTCACAGCTGTACAAAGACACATGTGTACACATGTATGGGCATTCACATACACGTGCCGAGAGGGAGGGAGGGAGGGAAGGAGGGAGAGAACATGTATATATATATATATGGAGAGAGAGAGAGAACAGGGCTCCCCAACCACACGACTTCCAAGCCCAGGGGAGTCGCCCAGCAACTGACAAGTCCAAATTCACTAAGCATGAGACTCTGACAGCGCAGCAGCCTGAGCTGGTCATTATGGGAAGGAGGGGAACACACGAGGGAAAGAAAAGGGTGCTACCCACGCTGAAGGAGGGATAACTAGGAGTGTGGATGAGATCCAGGCTTTGTGATGAGGACTAAAACAGAGAGGGCATTGTTCAAAGGCAGGACCGTCAGGCAGGAATGGGAAGTGATGAGTTTGGTCTCTGGTGGAGCATCTCAATCTTGATACCCGCAGGTATTTTGTGCTGGGAAGTGTCCTAAGTTTCCCTCTGTCTCCACCAGCTAAATGCCAGAAACAGTCCCCTAACCAATTATGGCATCTGAAAGATGACTAGATATGGCCAGTGTCCCACAGAGAGCAAAACTGGTCCCTGTTAAGAAGCTCTAGTTTAGGATGGGCCGCGGTGGCACACACCTTTAATCCCAGCACTCGCGAGTCAGAGCCAGGCGGATCTCTGTGAGTTCGAGGCCAGCCTGGTCTACAGAGCGAGATCCAGGACAGGCACCAAAGCTACACAGAAAAACCCTGACACACAAAACAAAAACAAAAACAAAACCTTGTCTCAAAAAAACAAACAAACAAAAAAATGTCGTGTGTGTGTGTGTGTGTGTGTGTGTGTGTGTGTGTGTGTGTGTGTATCGTGTGTGTGTATCAATGTGTTTGCTTGTTTACCAGCAGGATCTCTGGGAAGGAGTACTGAGGAAACAGCCTGAGTTGTTAATTGGGCATGTATTTAAGGGTTCTCCTAGGCAGGAGACTTTGAAGCAAAGCTCAGGGGTGCAAGTGCAGGGTGCAAGGTATGAGGGAGGAGTTAGGGAAATGAGGTGGACCCCAGCCAAACACCAAAGCATCGGGGCTTCCTCCCAAAGGCAGCAGAGAGCCTGGAGTGCCTTAAATCACTAAGTACCGTGATCCCAAAGGGGCCACGGAAGCTCACAATGGCAATATGATGCAGAATCAGCCAAGGGAGGCACCAGGGACAGGGAGCCTGTGAAGAGGCGAAGCCGTCACCACACCACAGGGATGAGGCCCGAGTGGCCACACTAGAGAGTAATGAGGTAGATTCCCAAGAGGCTCATACCAGACCTGACTGAAGTGGAGGTGAAGGCAAGGGTGGGCGGCTCACTATGTGACTGCCTGGAGCCAGAACCTGCCTTTCACCTGGGGCTCAGGGTTTGGCTAGGGGCCCAAATGACAGATCCAGGGGAAGACGGAGCCATAGATGTAGATAAGACAGCCCAGGAGAGGTGGGGAACGTGACTGGGGAGAAGAGAGCCGAGACAAAGCCCCAGAAAAACAATCAAGAGTCAAGGAGGGCGGGACGCTAGATAACTCCGTCGTCGGGAGAGCACTGCCCGGCGGCAAGGTGAGTCTGATCCCTAGAGCCCACATGAAAATAAACAAAGCCAGGCTTGGTGGCCTGTGGTTGTAATCCCAGTGCTGGGGAGGAGACAGAAGGGTCCCTGGGACTCTGGCCGGGCAGCCTAGTCTGCTTGGCAAGTTCCAGTTGAGACTGCCTCAAAACAAAAGAAAAAGGTGGACAGTGCCTGAGAACAACACCCCAAGTTGATATCGCACACACACGCACATATAGGTGTGCACACATACATATGCACACACAGGAGTGGATACACGTACACACGTGCGCGCACACACACACCGAGAAAGTGGAAGAACTGACAAGGAACAGAAAAGGGGAGAAAGGGGGTGTCATGGTGCCTAGAGAAGATAGGGGGATCGACAGATTCTATTAACCAAGCAAGAGTAGACAAGAAAAAAATGTCCCTTAGGTCAGCCACGAGGTCACAGTCACAAGTGAGTGAGTATGGCCACAGGGGAGGGGACTGAACGGCAGGTGACTGAACAGACTGCAACAGGACCCACACTACTTTTGGTTAAGGAGAGGCAACCCTTATTTATACCTTGTCCAAGGACGACACTTTTCAAAAGTGGATGACTCGTTGGAGAAGAAGCCGGCTGGGCAGGGTTCACACACAGTATCAGCAGTCCCTGTGGCTGGGAGCATGTGGGGAGGATGTATCAACGATCTCAGTGGGTCACGGTGTCTGACTCCCAAGGGAACCAGCAGACAAGCAGGGCAGGAGAGAGCACCTGCCTGCTCCCTGTCTCAGTGCAGTGGAGGCCCCTTAAGACTGCAACCCCGCAGGAGTCTCCTTCCCCTTCCCCAGGAAGTTGCCCATAACCACAGCCAGAATGCAAAAGATCCCATTTCCTGTTAACCAGAGGGAAGATGCCAGTCCAGGCGGGAGTCTCTATCCCCTCAGCTTCTGGGGAACCAAAGGCCGACTGCTCAGTCCCGGCTCTTCTCTCCCACCCACAGCTGTTTCCCGGGGCGGGCGGGCCACTTACCCATCTGCTTAACTCCAAAGCCAGGGCCACAGGACGTGTGCAGAACACATCTCCTACACTCCTTGCTAGTGCAGTGCAGACCTTCCTTACAGGCACAAACAGTGTCTGTATCTGAGGTGCCCTCCTTCTCAACCTGAAGCCCTTCATCTGAGCAGAGATGAGAAGGAAGAATGGGAAAACCCCCTCGGCCTCGCTCGCCAAGAGCCCTTCCCACTTCCCACACCATCTCCAGTTTTCTTACGCTGACTTCCTAGGATAGATGACGACCACCTAACTAACTTATTCAACAGCCCAAACTCAACCCAGACTCCCACCCACCAGGACAGACCCTGGCTACTGAAATCGGAGGGATGTCATTGTTAAGGAATATCAACCCAGTTCTCAAGTGCACCGCCCCACGCAGCCCCACGCAGCCCCACGCAGCCCCACGCAGCCCCACGCAGCCCCACGCAGCCCCACGCAGCCCCACGCAGCCCCACGCAGCCCCACGCAGCCCCACGCAGCCCCACGCAGCCCCACGCAGCCCCACGCAGCCCCACGCAGCCCCACGCAGCCCCACGCAGCCCCACGCAGCCCCACGCAGCCCCACGCAGCCCCACGCACTGGATTCACAGTGTGTATGCTGGTAACACCGCGACTCTCTGTTCCACGTGTTCATGTATTCGCCTGAGTTACACAGAAGGCATTGGGTCTTGGTGAGAGCCGTGCAGTGGTTCACCAGTCTCATTCCTGAAAAAAAAACAAAACAAAACAGGAAGACATGAGGCAGCTCGCGCCAATCCTGTCACTACCCGGTGAGCCAGGGCCTGGGGGAGTGGAGCTTGGGAATGGATATCTCAGACCCACGTGAGTGGGAAAGATGGAAGACACGGGGCAGCCTGGGGCAGCCTGGCATCAAGGAAGGGGGTGGAGTGAGTCCTTTTTAGCCTTGAGTTCACAGTTCATACATGGGGTCTGCATCTGCCAGCAAATTAAGAGGGAAGGGTCTTGGTATGGGGCTGGAGGGACTGTCACCTCACCCGGCTGGCACAAATCGCAGCACTGGCCATTGAAGAAGTACTGTTTGTCTCTGCATGTGTTGCATTGTCCTAGATGGACCTAAAAACAAAGTATGTAACTGGAAGGGATCTTTGATAGGCAGGTTGAAAGTTAGCCAAGACATACTATAGCAGATGTGGAACTCCGAAGCAGAAAAGAAAGCCCCCACAGTATGAGGTATATTTGATTTTTACTATACTGCCAAGTGGTGTGGTTATAAAAAGCATCCAGAGAGTCATCCGGCCATCTTACAAAGCAAGGACTCAGAACTCTCTAACCCAGATAGATCCACTTGACTCCTCCCTCAGTGCTCCTGAAGACCCAGCAGGAAGGGAGAACTCAAGCACTTCCTCTAGAGTGGGAGGCTGCTGGTTCCAGCTGGCCTCAGCCCCTTCTGAGTGCCACCATGGTTTCTGTCCCCAGCTCCATGCTGCAAGGGTAAGAATCATTCTGCAGAGGGCCACACTGTGCAGCCACGAGGCTGAGACACTGTGTGAGGGCAGGTGCCCTCAGAGGTCAGAAGAGGGAGCCAGATGCTCCTTGGAGCTAGAGCTGCAGGTGGTTGCGAGCTGCCCAGTGTGGGTGCTGGGAACCTAACCCCAGGCCTCTGCGAGGGCTGCACATGCTCTGAACTGCTGAGCCATCCCTCCAGCCTGTACGTGTGTTCCTTAAAGTCAGGCTACACCTTAGAGTCCCACAGGCACAGAATCCAAAGTTCTCAGCACCTCTATCTCCACTCACGGTTTCACTCTGTCCATTTCTACATCTGGGTGCCACCCATGCTAGTGGTTGAGTCTTGCTAAGTCAGACACACTTCTCTTAACTGGAAATCTATTGTTGCCTCGAGAGAATAGCCAGTATCACTTCCTATAAATTAAAAGAAACCCTAAAAATACACTCAGCAGACTCCTAACAAGGTTAGTAAACCTCAGCTCGGAGCTGAACTCCCTGAGAACCCCCGCCCTGGGCCTGGTTTTTGTTTTTTTGTTTTGTTTTGTTTTGTTTTAGTTTTTCGAGACAGGGTTTTCCTGTGTAGCCCTGGCTGTCCTGGAACTCACTCTGTAGTCTTTGAAAGGCATTAACTAGCTTTGTGTGGTGGCGCATGCCTTTAAACTAAGCACTTAGAAGGCAGAGGCAGGCAGATCTCTGTGAGTTCAAGGCCAACCTGGTCTATAAAGCAAGTTCCAGGACAGCCAGGGCGACACCAATAAACCCTGTCTCAAAAACAAACAAACAAACAAACAAAAAAGGAAGGAAGGAAGGAAAGGCATTAACGCCAAAGTCTTGATCCTTGAAAAAATAAGGACAGGACAGCAAGATGGCTCAGCAGGTCAAGGCACTTACTGCGAGGCTGATGACCTGATTCAGTCCCTAAGAACCACTTGGTAGGAAAGACTGGTTTCCATAAATCACCCTGTGACCTCCACACATGCCCTGTGGCATTCATACACACATACATGCATACATACATAACATTCATAAGTGTAATAAAAATTAATTTTTAAAGTGTGAAAGTTTTTTTTAAAAGCACTGTAACAGGAGTCTGTGTTTTAGTGTGTGTGCACACGCACTGCCCTGTTTGAGACTTGGAGCATACACCTGCCCACCGTTCAAGTGTGTGAAGGTCAGGGCACAACGTTGATGTCAATCCTCACCTTCCATCTGTTTCAAACAGGGTCTCTTGGTTGTTCTCAGCTGTACATGCCCAGCTAGCTGGCCTGAAAACGTCAGGGGCTCTCCTTTCACCTTAGGAACATTAGGATTGCAGACTTCTACCACACACTGCCTCACACGGGTTCCGGGGTGAACTCGGGTGCTCAGGCTGGCACGGCAGGTGCTTCAGTCACCGAGCTGCCGCCCCAGGTGACACTTGAGGATTTATGTGAGGGTTTTTTTTTGTTGATTGGTTGGTTGGGTTTTTTTTTTTTTTTTTTTTTCGTTTTTCGAGACAGGGCTTCTCTGTGTAGTTTTGGAGCCTGTCCTGGATCATGCTCTGTAGACCAGGCTGGCCTCGAACTCACAGAGATCCGCCTGGCTCTGCCTCCCGAGTGCTGGGATTAAAGGCATGTGCCACTGCCAACTGGCTTTTTTGTTTGTTTGTTTTGTTTTTTAAGACTTTAAAAAAAATGTTTAGGTTTATTGATTTTATTTCGTTTGTACGAGTGTTTTGCCTGCACCGATGCGTGCCTGGTGCCCTTGAAGGTCAGAAGAGGACACTGGTCCTAAGAGGATTCTCTGGAACTGGTGCCAAGGATGGTTGTGAGCCACCATGTAGGTGCCAGGAAACTGAACCTGGGTCCTCTGCAACAGCAACAAGTGCTCTTCTCCTAGCCATAAGATTTATTTTATTGATTATAGGTAGATATGTGTGTCTGTATGTGGATATGTGTGTGTGTGAGGGCAGGTGCCCTCAGAGGTCAGAAGAGGGAGCCAGATGCTCCTTGGAGCTAGAGCTGCAGGTGGTTGCGAGCTGCCCAGTGTGGGTGCTGGGAACCTAACCCCAGGCCTCCTCGAGGGCTGCACATGCTCTGAACTGCTGAGCCATCCCTCCAGCCTGCACGTGTGTTCCTTAAAGTCAGGCTACATTTTAGAAATACCCAAGGGCCAGGCGGTGGTGGCACATGCCTTTAATCCCAGCACTCAGGAGGTAGAGGCAGGAGGATCACTGTGAGTTCGAGGCCAGCCTGGTCTACAAAGTGAGTACCAGGATAGCTAGGATTGGGGGGAGCCCACATTTGAGGATGAGACAAATCACTCTGCAACACAAACTACTTTGCTTTTCTGAGGCTGCATTTCCTCATCCTTAAAGATTTGTTTTTATTATTGTATTCGTGTGCCAGTCCACTGTGGGCACCAAGAACTGAACTTGGCAGCATGTGCCCACTAAACTGTCTCTCTAGCCCTGTTTCATCGTCTTTAAAATGGAATTAATAGCACCTGCCCCGAAGGTTGGGTTGAGAACGTGAAAGAACACATGTACATGGCCTGGTAGTCTACCACGGTAGGTGCCCACAAAACGGCAGTTCTCATCAGTACATGCAGATGAGTGTCTGCGTGGGTGCCCTGTACCCTGGCAACTGACTGACTATCCAGGATTTGGCTAACGGATAGCTCTAATTCAACCTGGGTATCTGAGCAAATCACTTGATGAAATCCATCTGAAAGCTCCTCCCGCAACAGTGCGTCCCCAGGACACCTCATCGGACTTCCCACCCTATTTCTAGAGCAGTGAAAGTCCTTGATGGCATCTTCGAGCAGGTGAAAAGGACACCTTTCCTCTGATGGCTCGCCAGCCCCAGTTTCCATTCCCCAAAGCACCGGTTCTTCCCCCACAAAGTTCTCAGGGCCCCAGCTTGAGGACCCTTCACCATGGGAGTGGCAAGTTCAGAAGTCAGGTAGATATAGATTCGTACCCATGTTGAGAGACTTTGGGCAAAACTCTCCCCCTTTCTGAACCTCATTTTGGTCATCTGCGCAACAGAAGAGGCGGGAGAGATCCAACGGGGGCTGTATGCAATCTCTCTCCCAGTCCCATGCACAGAAAGACCTTGCTAAATAGCACTTGCTGTTTCTGTCAGGGCCCAGCACCTACCTGGAGCCCAGATGGGGCTCACAAGGGCAGACTTTGTCCTTGGGTGGTCCAGACTACCCTTCATCACACCTCTGTTTCTTCCTCCATTCCTCCCACAAGGCCCTCATCCACTTCCCTCCCACTCTACCCTCCTCCTGCATCCTGTCTCCCTAAAAGCCATTGCTTAGACCAGTGACCCTTTAATACAGTTCCTCATGTTTGGTGACCCCCAAACATAAAATTATTTTCCTAGCTACTTCATAACTGTAATTTTGATACTATTATGAATCATAATGTAAATATCTGTGCTTTCGGGTGGCCTTCGGCGACCCCTGTGAAAGGGTTGTTCGACACCCCCACAAAGAGTCGAGACCCAGAGGTTGAGAACCACAGAGTGAAAATGAAAGCTTGTAAAGCAGCTTCCTCATTTTTCTCTCTTCTGCTGCCGACCCCCACAGTTATCCTTGCCCAGGCCACAGGTCAGGATCCACAGCCCTTGGCTGGGGATGTAGCTCAGTTGGTACAATGACTGCCCAGAATCCGTGGAGCCCTAGGTTCCATTCTAAGTACCACATAAAACTGGTCATGAACCCTGTCTCGAAAAACCAAAAAAAAAAACTGGTCATGGTGATGCACGCCTGTAGTCCCAGCATTACAGAGAAATCCAAGGACAGGAGAGACGGCTCAGCCACTAAGTGCTCGCCACATAAATGTGTGGATCAGAGTTCCGATCTCCAGAAACACATGTAAATGCCAGGTCTTTGTAGAGGCCTCTCTGTAATTCCAGCCTTGCAAAGCAAAGACGGGGGATCCCCAAAGCAAGCTGGCTAGTGAGACCTGCCATATGGGGAGCTCTGGGTTTGATTGAGACCCTGCCTGAATGAGTAAGGTAGAGAGTGTCCAAGAATGACTCACGATATCAGCTTCAGGCCACCACATGCAAGAACACACATGTACCCACAATAATGTATACACACATACAAACCACACAAACAAAAAAGCAAGGGAAAAAAGAAAGGAATTAAAAGTCATCCTCAACTACATAGGGAGTTTGAGGTCAACCTGGGGTACCTGAGATTCTCTCAATCCAGCTGGTTGATAGTGTGTGCTTACACAACACTAACTGTCCCTGCTGCAGAAAGCCACACCTGTAACATGACACCTGCCCACGTGGGTGATTCAAAGTCAGCTTAAATACCTAAATCCTTGTCTCCAACCAACAAGACTCTACAGCACTTGAAAACATGGGGAGCCCAGCCAGAGGGGCGGGGATGAGACTCAGGTAGTCAGGGGATTCCCAGCCTCCAGAATGAGGAACTGCAGAAATACATTTAAACCAAAAGTGAATCGAGTGGTAGCTTTGAAAATCCCGGAGATGTGCTTGGTTGGGTCTGAGCCATTCTCGTGCCTGGAGAAACCGAGGCTGATCTCTTCACTCTTTCTTGGGTTCCACGGCTATTCCTCTCTTTGGGTATCTCTTATGCCGTCTTAAGTTCAAGAAGCAGAGGCACCAACTTGGGGGTTCCTCCTAGATTAGCTTGGCTATGGTAGGGGTGTGGTGGGTGTTAAATTACCTCTCCAAGAAAGTACCCAGGGTCTTGTTCCTACAAGATGCCCTGGAAGAAAGTGGCCCCAGCTAGCAGGGAGAAAATAACCACTGATGGTGTCTCTCCACAACGGGAAAGTGACAGGAAACAGGCCAGACTTGCTCCTTCCAAGCCTAGCCAGGCTGTCTTCCTGTGCACTCCAAAACCCTTTCCAATCTCTGTGGCCAAGCCTAGCCAGGCTGTCTTCCTGTGCACTCCAAAACCCTTTCCAATCTCTGTGGCCAGCTCCTGAGCCCAGGCTTGGATTAGATAAAGTCGTCCAAACACCGCTGTGTAAGCATACCCTCCCTAAGCTCCCCCTGTGGACTGGGGAGAGGAACAGCCCACCCACCTTATTTTATAGTCAAGATCAGAGAGATCTTGCCCGCCCTATTCACCGCTTCCCACCTTCCCCTCCAAATCAGCTAGGAAGATCTCCCCGACGTCTTGTCTCCTCTTTCCATCTCCCGCTCTCAAATCCTTTAGGACAGGGACAGAAGCCACTCACCGCTGTCAACAAGCAGCCCCAGAGCACACACTGCCGAGGCAAAGTCACCATCGCGGGGGTTCGAGCGGCCAGATCACTGATTAGGGTGGTGCCTCTAGTAGCTCCAAAGTCCCTGCCAAGGGCCCCGCCCAGGAAAGGGGCGGGGTCTTCAGGCACCAATCGCGAGGACTTCGGGCTAGTAGCTGGGCAGGGAATTCCCCAGGACCTTCCCAAGAGTCTGATTCCCCCGGGAGTTTAAGGGCCGGGCACCTAGGCGGCAGGAGGCGTGGTCCCAAGGGGAGCCCGTTCTCTACATCCCGGGACCCCAAGAGCCACCTATAGCAGGGCTAGGGACCCTCCTGCTTGCAAGAAGTAGAGGGGAGAAGGATTCCTGTAGGGACTGGGGGGTTGGGGGGCGCCACTGGATACCCAGGGTTCCCCCAATACCTCCGGGAAATCTCCGCAGAACCGAAAGCGTCCCCAGTGGGGACAGAGAGGTCTAAGGAAGTCCCCAGCATCACCGCAAAGCCAAAAAACGGGAAAGACCACAGTTGGAGAGCCAGGAAGTGATTCAAGAAAATGAGTTTTCCCTACTCAGTTCCTATTTTTTGCGAAGGAAATTCCCACGTGTAGGGGCAGAGTCCTACCCTCCCATCCATGCGTGCCACCCATGTGTCTCCACCAGCGACTTCTATCCCATCCCAGCTCCATCCGGAGTCAGGAGACAGGTATTTACTGGGTGGACCAGCCTTTCGTGGGATCCCGGGATCCCTTGGGAAATGTTAGCGGACTAGAGGCTCTCTCTATTCCTCCATTAACTTTGGGGGGGGGGATGGTCGGGAGCAAGGTTCTGAACTCTGATCCTCTCCCCAACACTACCCACTCTTCTTCATATTCTCTCCTCCTCTTCGTTTCCCCCACCCCATGGAGTATATGGGGGGTCAGAGGACAACTTAGGGGAGTTAGTTGTCTCCTGTGAGATCCGTACCTCAAACTTAGGTCGCCAGGCTCCGTAAGTAGTGTCTTCACCCCACACCCTCCACTACCGACCCCATTTTTGAACCAGTGTTAACATTCTTCTCTGCAGCCACGGTGTCCTGGGTTCTGGTCCAAGCTTTGGGCCTGATGCACTGAGTTCATTCCCTTCCCAGGAACTTGAACTAGGTGGTGCTTGGGATGTTGATGCTCCAGACTCTGAACATCCAGGCCATGCTGAGAGGTCAGGCTGAAAAGAAAAAGGATGGGATGGGGAAGGAAGGTATGGTACATTAACCCCAACCTTGGGACCTGTCTTGCTGTTCTATTGCTGTGAAGAGATCATAACCATGGCAACTCCTACAAAAGATAGCCTTTAATTGGGGGCTTGCCTACAGTTTTAGAGGGTTATTCCGTGATCATCATGGTGGGAAGCAGACAGGCATGGCATTGGAGCAGTAACTGAGAGCTTTACACCCTGATCCGCAGGCAGCAGGTGCCAGGGGTGGGAGTCTGGGCCTGGCATGGGCTTTTGAAACCTCAAGGCCTACTCTCGAGTGACACACCCCCTCCAACAAGGCCACACCTCCTAATCTTCCAAAACAGTTCCACTAACTGGGAACCAAGCATTCAAACATATGAGCTGTGGGCGCCATTCTCAATCAGACCACCACAGGGCCATTGCTACAAGTAACAGCTTCATCTCTCTTCATCCCAGACTTAGGAGTCCCAGAAGAAGTTGCCTTTGTGAGGAGCACAGGCCAGGTGAATGACCGAGAAGCCGCATGCTGGGAGGCCAGGTTCCACTGCTCTGTCGTCTTCTTCCTCTGGAATCCATCCTGTCTTCGGTCACCTCCGCCACTGTTCTAACTCAGGGGCTCATAGTGAGTATGTGAACAGGTTGTCACTTCTCACCCGGAAACAGCCCCCATCACAAGGAAGATGGCAAAGAGGGACACACCTCTGGAGGTCTCAATACTGACCTCACACCGCAGTGGCCCCCTGGGTAGAAAGATGGTGGTCATACATAAAAAGGCCAGAGACACTCAAATCAGGACCCAGAGGTCTCCATTAAAGACACACAAAGACACCCAGTAGGAAGAGAGCATTAAACTGTCTTTTCCTTTTTTCATCCCCTTTGGAAAACAAGCCTAGTTTTCATTCCTGAGAGTGGGGGCATTACTAGATAACTTCAGCTATTGCTTATTTCTTATTTGCTTGATTCCAAAATTGGGCCCTTCACAAAACTGCCTCAGGGAAGCCAGTACACAGAATTAAAACATTAATTATATTATATAAAACATATCATAGCAGCAATTAAAGCATCTTAAATTAATGTGTGAAAGAATAAATAGTAGCCTTTGTGTTGCCCCATGGGGCGCAGACCAGACAAGATAAAGGGAAGATATTTCACTTTACACACATCCCTAGGAGATGCTGGCGGTGAGGCCTAGGGAAGGAACAGAACCGTGTTGGGCTGAGAGGAGAGCGAGGAAGGAGGGGGCTAGTGAGATGCTTCCAGGGGAGGTGGCGATTGCCAGCATCCCACCGAGGGAAGAGTCCAGCAGCAGAGGTGGGGCAAAGGGTGCTGGAAAGAACAGTGATCCAGGATTTGGGAGAAAATGGCCTTTGTGAGGAGCAGGGGGTGCGGGGCAGGTGAATGACCGAGGGGCATGCGTGGAGGTCAGAATTGGCAGCATCTGCTGTCCAAAGACCCAGCTCTACTCATGGTGTCTTTTACCTGTATTCTGCCCCTCCTTATTACCTAATACGTACCCTTTCTTCTTCCTTTTCCTACATAGTATACTGTCCTTACATGTACGTGTGTGTGTGTGTGTGTGTGTGTGTATGTGTGTGTGTGTGTGTGTGTGATGAAAAGGGATATAAAGCTAATTGTTTTTTCAAGTTTTACCTCATGCATTTGTCAGGGTATTTTGTGGTGGATAAGTTCATAAAAATATAATTAATAGTGAAAGTATAGAAGCCAGTGTGAAGCTGCAGAGCTTCAGAATGGCTCTTCTAACTGTATAGATGTTCGTGGAGATGTGTAGACTTTGGGCCTGGCTAATCTCACTACATGATGTTTTTTATGGGCAAGTTCATTACAGTAGAGTTTTATTTTAAACAGAAAAGAATATTAGCCATAGTGGCGCACGCCTTTAATCTCTGTCCTCAGGAGGGAGAGGCAGGTGGGTTTCTGGATTCTCTGGTCTACATAGTGAGTTCTAGAACACCCAGAGCTACACAGTGAAACCCTGTCTCAAAAACTAATTAATTAAAAATATCCCAGCTAGTATGCATATCTGATTATGTTCCCCAAGGTTCTCAGCAGGCTCCCAAGGACCATCACTTTTTAGTTTACAGGGATACACATCCCTTGGCTTCCACTTCCCTGGTTGTCCCACACTGTCACCTCCACCTGACACTACCTCCCCCTTACCTGCTTTCATCTCACGTTTCAATGCTGGAGTTCAGTGCACCTCCTCTGGGAACTCGAAGCCTCTGAGGTGAGCACACCCACCTCCCCAAGCTCTCTTTCCTAGCCCCACAACCTACTTTGCCCAAGTGAAACTCAGCCCCACCATGCTGTTCTTCAATTATTCTGTTTATTTGTGGAACCAGCGTGTGGAGGCGGCTCGACTCCATGGGGCATGATAATGAAGCGCTCGCCCTAATCTCTGCCTCCAGCCATGCTCAGCTGACTTTCCCTTTTCTGTCCCTTAATGACATTTTGGGCAGATTGCGTTCCTTTCGGATCACTTTCTGTTGTTAAAACCCTCATCCTTTGATGTTTTATTCGCAAACTCAATTTAAATCTCATCTCATCCTCCCTGCTCATCCAAGGATTGACTTGAGCCAGGAAGAATCTTGTCAGCTAGACATAAAAAACAGGGAAGGAGAAAGGACTGGCTGGGAGATGCACCCCAGCACCATCCCAGGGTTGAAATGGGAAGCGGGGATCAGGAGAGGGCAGATAGCCCGGGTGGAGTGTCTGGCCTCTGCAAAGTGCCTCTCCACGATGCTTGACCCGCCCTGTCTGCAGTGGCCAAGTGGTGGCTTCCTGAGGGACATGGAGTAATTCTCATGATTTTCCCCATGGACAGTTCTCTGATGGACACCCAGCTCAGATTTTAGCAATCATCTCATACCCTGATGCCACCTGGAGACTGCAGTGCCCAGAAGTCAGTCTACTAGAATGAGTCCTCAGAAAGGTGCTCCCGCCTGGCTACTGTGGTGTTCACTTGGCCCACAGGGACATTTTATCGGGGCAGTGCTCTGCCATGTCCTCTCTCTTTCCAATGCTTTCTGCCCAGATAGGCACTGTCCACTGCCAGGAAGACCTCATGAGAGACAGCATCCCACATGCCCTTCCTATGGTCGTCTTCAATCTCCACAAGGTGCTTTGAGCCTCCTTCACTCCCGCTCTTCTCTATTGTACATCCTGCAGTCATCAACAGAACGTAAGACCTTCCTTCCCCCTGCCCGGGATTAGTAAAGTGGGCAACTGGGGTTGTGGATGTAGTGTCAGCCCGCCTCTTTTAGTAAAACCACTGGGGAGGTCTGGCTCCCCACAACCCAGAACCTGTTGGCCTTGCTTGCGGATTCCTAGCAGAACCTTCACTCCGTAAACTTTGTAATGGCCATTCCTCACATCTGACTTGATTCCTAGACAGAAGGGGAATCAGTGTCTTAGTCATTGTCTTATTAGGGTTTCTGCTGCTGTGATGAAACACCATGACCAAAGCAACTTGGGGAAGAAAGGGTTTATTTGGCTCACACTTCCACATCACTGTTCATCACTGAAGGAAGTCAGGACAGGAACTCACACAGGGAAGGAGCCTGGAGACAGGAGCTGATGCAGAGGCCATGGAGGGGTGCTGCTTACTGGCTTGCTCATCATGGCCTGCTCAGCCTGCTTCCTTACAGAACCCAGGACCAGCAGCCCAGGGATGGCACCACTCACAATGAGCTGGGCCCTCCCCAATCAGTCACTAAGAAAATGCCCTGCAGGCCTGCCTACAGCCCCATCATATGATTTTATTTTACATATCAAACTCAGTTCCCCCTCCCTCCCTTCCTCCTGTTCCTCACCCACCTCTGCCCACCCCTCCCCCCATCCAGAGAGGGTAAGACCTCCCATGGGGTGTCAGCAAAGCCTGGCATATCAAGCTGAGGCAGGACCAAGCTCCTCCCACCTGCATCAAGGCTGAGCAAGGTGTCCCACCATAGGGGATGGGCTCCACATCACAGGAGGCATTTCACATTTGAGGTTCCCTCCTCTCAAATGACTTTAGCTTGTGTCAAGTTGACATAAAACTATTCAACACAGTCATCTTCTATTGCCCATCCAGATGCCCATCCAGAGCGCAGGCCCATGCCGAGTGCTGATCAAGCACTTATTGAGTAAATTCAAGACTGTTAAGTAACAAGTCTGAAGGAATCCATCAGGACTTACCCACTTGGGCCCCACACTGGCTGCATGGCTGCCCACCCCCACCGGGTTCTCTGGCTGGGATTCCCAGACCTAACTGTGTCCCCCAGATATTTCCTTATAACTCAGAAGAGCTGAGCTGGGATTTGTCAAAAGGAACTAAGACACTTAGGAAAGAACACGATGAGAAATCTGGAAAACCCCAGAACCAAACAAAAGGCTGCTTTGACAAAGCGTTGTCAGGATCCAGGTAAAACGCCTTATTGGCCTGGCTGATTCTGACTCCCTGACATGGAGAACTCAGCCCTTGATGGCAGCAGCCTCCATGGACTGTGGTGTCTGGAATGAGAGGTGGATGTGTTGGTAGAAGAGGTGACTCAGGATCTCCCGCTGTGATCTCAAGGTCTTCTACGGCTTGGCTTCTGCTGGCCTCCCCCTCTGATGCCCACTCACTAGGAACCTCCAGTCATCAGCAGTCCTTGCTCCGGCCTCGGATCTCTATCTGTGTCCCTCCCCTACCCATTATCTGCCCCCTCCTCTTCCCTAGTTAGATCTAAGACAGACAGACGGATGGGCCTCCAAGGGAGGCTTATTTTGAGACCCTCATCTAAAAGGGACTTCCTTCCACTGCGCAGCCCCCTCCTCCCCACACTGCCCTCATGTAGAAGACAGAACTCATAAACTTAGAAGATAACGTTATTGGAAGGACGCTGGGCAGGAAGAACCAGACTCAGGCCATGACCTTAGGAGGTGGAATATGAAGGGAGAAGTCCTTACAGCCATCCCTATGCTAGCCAGTCCCCAAGACAGTCCCATGATCCCACCTCCTGCTCTTCATACCCACGCTTGGTCCCCTTCCTCTGTGTACCAACAGAAACTAGTGACTCATGGGATGTCACAAGGAGTTCAGAACATAAAACCCTGAGGTGTGGCTGGAAAGATGGATCAGTCAGTGATATACTTGTCCCCAAAGCATGAGGACTTGAGTTCAGATCCCCAACATACATGTGAAAAGCCAAGTGAAAGCCAGGCATGGTGGCATGTATCTATAATCGTATCACTGGGGAGATAGAGGCAAGCACACCTCTGTGGGTTCCAGGCTAGCCAGGGCTACACAGCTAGAGCCTGTCTCAAAATAATCAAAGAAACAAACAAAACAAATAACCGTACAAGTGAGGCAGTGTGTGGCTGTAATCCCAGCGCTGGGGAACTGGAGGAGGAAACTTCCTGGGGCTTGCTGGCCAGTCTAGCCAAATCAACAAGCTCTATCTCGGTTCAGTGAGAAAGCCTGTCTCAGAAAAAATAAGGTACAGGGCTGGCAAGATGGTTCAGTGGGTAAAGGTGCCTGCTGCCATTCCTGACGTGAGTTCAACCCACACAGTGGAAGAAAGAGAGAACCAACTCCCGAAAGTTGCTTCTAAAGGGCACACATGCAGCGGTACTCTTGCTTGAGCATACGCAATAAATAAACACATAAATACTAAATAAATACATAAATGTAATAACAAAACAGAGTGTCCAGAGCAATTCAGGAAGACACCCAAGATACGTGATTCTGAGTCTTCTTATACAGTAATATTTTATAGGTGAACACTCAGTTCTAGACTTACAGACACGCACTGCCTCATCTAGATTTTTATGTGGCTGTGGGGTATCCAGTCCAGAATCATGTATTTTGATTCTCCAATGCCCCTGCAGAACATAGTCGTTCACTAAAGATATTATATTAAATAGACACTTCTCATGTGTATGAAATGTTGCAGACCAAAAATAATCTATTGTCCTATCCCAAAATTAAATCAATATTTTCATTTGTACATTTGTATTCACATTTCAGTCCTAGCCTGTTGGTGTCTTTAGAGTTCTCTCTCCTAGGGGAAGCATGCATTCCTGCTTTATATTTTCCTATATTGTCATGCTGTGAACATTATTCCCATGATATTTTTATTTTTATATGATTTATTTTTGATTATGTGTGTCTGTATATGGTATGTGCTCATGCGCAAGTGCCTGTGGAGACCAGAAGAGGGCACCAGATCCTCTGGAGCTGGAGTTGTGAGCACCTTGACCTGGTGGCTGGGTGCTGGAAACCAAACTTGGGTCTTGTACAAGCAGTATGTGCTTATAACCACTGAGCCATCTCTCCAGCCCCACAGTTTTTTCTCTATCTCTAATCTCCCCCTCTTCATGACATCCCACTAGTTATCACTCTACATGTTAAAGAATGTGTTTGTTCTTTTCCTAAGAAATTAAGCTATCATTTTCTGAAACCACTTCCCACTAAATAACATGTCACAGAAATGGTTCCAAGTCAGTAGACACAGATCTGCAGCTCCTGGTTGAAATAACTGTGTCATTCTCTGTGTGGTGAACTTGTCTCAGCTGATTCAACTGCTCTGCTGTGGACTCCAGGTTTCCACTTCTGCAGTGGGCACTGAGCAACACAGGTCCTTGCTCATGCATGCTTGGACACCTGTGTTCTGGTGTCCATAGAACAGATTTCTAGAAGGAATATTCTATGTATATAAAGTGCAAACAAATATTTTCAAAATGCTTTGCAAGGAAAAAAATTGAAAAATTCATATTTAAAAAGCTTTGGACTGTCAGGTGTGGTGGCGCACACCTTTAATCCCAGCATTCCAGAGGCGGAGGCAGGCAGATCTCTGTGAGTTCAAGGGCAGCCTGGTCTACAGAGCGAGTTCCAGGACAGGCTCCAAAGCTACACAGAAAAACCCTGACACACAAAACAAAAACAAAAACAAAACAAAACAAAAAAAACTTGGATTCTCTCCATTACTAAATGTTATCATTCATTTGATATTTGATAACTTGATGTACAACAGATATTGCTGCCTCAGTTCACATTTCTCAAAATTATATTTTCCCATTATTAATAATTTTTTTTCTTTTTGTGGTTGTAGGGTTTGGGCCTCATGCTGTATCCTCAGTCTCCTTTCCATAGTGAAGCAGTTACTCAAGCTGGCCTGGAACTCATTCTGGAGCCCAGGAATATCTTGACCTCATCATCCTGAGGAGCTGGGGTCACAGGCCTGCACCACCAGGCCCAGAGAAGGTGAGTGTCTCCTGTTTTATCAAATGTTTATCTTGATCTTCCTTATCTATGAACTAACCATCCTTTTTCAGACAGCTGTCATTCAGCTTCAATCATGAATTCATTCAACAATTCATTAAGCAGCTAATGTGGGTCACATGTTAAAGTATTGAACCACAAAGTCCCAGCACTAATGAGCTCTTTGCATGCAATGGATATTAACCTTTTCCTCTGTCATGTGTGTCAAAAATCAGCTCAGATGTCTAATTGTGCCTCTGGGCTCTGCCACAGGCATGTTCTGGCAGACAGTAACCATCTTAGTTTCGTGTTATAGGATGTAAAATAGTATTGGTTGCTAGCCATCACTTGTTAAAGAAGAATGTCTAACAGCCCACTGTGTGGCATCTTGTAGGTCCCCCACCCTCAGGGCCTCCATCCACAGTCACCACTCTGCCATATCTTGAGTATCTGTGACCACTTGTTCTGAGGGCCATTAATGGCTTCAAGAGCATCTTCAGATCATTCTGGATGGGAGCAGAATAGAAGAGCATCATTCAGTGCCCCCTGGAAACAGCTTCTCACCACTGGCAGAGTTATAGGCCAGTGTCCGAGTTCCTCACCCCCTCAGGTAGAATGACTAAGAAGTAGGTTCTGCATCATCTTCCCAGTCAGGATGAAACCCCAGTTCCCTGTGATGTGACCTGCTTATCAGCCCCCACCTGAAAGCACTTCCTCTGGATGTTTCATTTGCCCAACTTCCCATCTGCTTTCTGCCATCATCTCTATTGTGAGACAAAACTTTTCCCAGGGGGCTGGAGAGATAGCTCAAGAGGTTAAGAGCACTGGCTGCTCTTCCAGAAGTCCTGAGTTCAATTCCCAGCAACCACATGGTGGCTCACAGCCATCTATAATAAGATCTGGTGTCCTCTTCTGGCATTCAGGTATACATACAGGCAGAACACTGTATATATAATGAATAAATAAATAAATCTTTTTTTAAAAATAAATCTTTATTAAAAAAAAAAAAAAAAAACCTTTTCCAGGGAGATGCAATACACATGTCTACTTATCTGACCAACAGACCAAAGTACAGATACCATCAAAGTCCAACTTGGTGAACCATGCATGAGTTTTATTGGGGTTACTTACAGGAATATGGGTGACGGGTTACTTACAGAAGTAGGAATGAATGGCTCAAAGACAGCTGTGTCACCAAAGCCCACCCCAGCAGGAATGACAGCTCACAAAGCTGGGAACCTGGAGCACACTGTACAGCCTGCAGGCAGCTCCACAGGTGGGAGAGTGTCTTTCCAGGTGCCTCAGAGGGTCTAAACCTCTTCCAGGAAGCTCGGCTGGCTCTGCTTCTTCCAGGCAGCTGTTTGGGCCTCAGTCTTGCGGCTTTTCTCCTCTGAGAGCCTTCTCTACAGCCGAGCTTCAGTTCCTCAGAGAACCACTCTCAGCTTTTACCACAGACTCTGGCAGGGAGGGGGCGTCTAATGAATCTGGTCAGTTTCAGGGACTTCCTGCAGCTATTGTGAGTTCTTAAGGAGCTTCTTGGCAGGATGGAACATTTCAATCTTAGAGAAAACCATCAAGCGACAACCTTCTGTAGTGATACTTTATTTGTGCTGAAATGTGGTGATATTTTATTTGTAGGTTAATAAATAAAGTTTGCCTGGAGATCAGAAGTCACAGCCAGCCATAAACAGAAGTCAGGTGGTGGTAACACACGCCTTTAATCCCAGTACCAACCATAGAGACCTGGAGGTCTGTACAGACAGGCAGTGACAAGGAAGTGAGGTGGTTGGGTTAAGAGCCAATGAGAAGGCAGAACAGCAAGGCAATAAAGGCGCGGGTTAGACAGGAAGAGGCTGGTTCTCTTGGGAAGCTACGTGACGTGGTGAGCTAAGGTTAGTTGGTGGCTATCACTCTGATCTCTACGGCTTTCACGCCTGTATTTGGCTCTGTGTTTCTTATTTAATAAGACTGTTTAGAAAGTCGCCTACAACTTCCCACATGAGTGCGTGAACAGAACTTTGCCTCACTTCTATGTTTAAGAAAACAGCAGCTAAGATCCTTCAGTGACGGGTGAAGACACACGAACAGGAGAGACTGGAGCTGAGAGTCATCACTGTGACCTTTGACCTCAGAATCGTGGGTCCAAAACCACAGTGCTACTGTCTGTGTGGTCTCGCCCTAACCTCTGTTTTCTCCCTTGTGAAATGAGAGTGCTTGCATGGTTCCTGGAAAGACTGGAGTGTGTACTTTTATCATCATAATATCTAGCAAAAATGACATAAACCATTGATAATAAACAATCATTTCAGGGGTTCAGATAGTTCCCCCCATGATCACTGGGCACTTAGTACTCTTATATCCATTTCAGAAGACTCCATCCAGCTCTCTAGGGACCAGGGATATGGCAGCCAGCCATGGGGTTTCTGTAGTCCTGGAGTTTGAATATTCCTAGATGTATTAGTGGATTGGCCCATCTGTGGTAGCAGACACATCCCATATCTGCATCATCCAATATGGTAGCTGCTGGCTACGGGTGCCTGGTGAACACTTGAATGTGGACATTACAATTGAGGAAGTGGATGTCTCTGTGTGTTGGTGTGTGTGTGTGTGTGTGTGTGTGTGTGTGTGTGTGTGTCTATGTGTATGTGTATCTGTGTATGTGTCTATGTGTCTGTGTCTATGTGTCTGTGTGTGTTTATGTGTATGTGTCTGTGTGTATGTGTGTGTGTCTGTGTCTGTGTGTCTGTGTATGTGTCTATGTGTCTGTGTCTGTGTTTATGTGTATGTGTCTGTGTGTATGTGTGTGTGTCTGTGTGTGTCTGTGTATGTGTGTCTGTGTATGTGTCTATGTGTATGTGTATCTGTGTGTGTCTGTGTATGTGTCTATGTGTCTGTGTCTGTATGTCTGTGTGTGTGTGTCTATGTGTCTGTCTGTGTATGTGTCTGTGTGTGTTTATGTGTATGTGTGTGTGTGTGTCTGTGTGTGTGCCCATATGAAAAGGACAGAAGACAGCATTTGGTGTCATCCTTAGGAAACCAATCTAGCTCCCTTGAGACAGGGTCTCTCATTGGTCTGAGGCTCACCTGATTGGTGGGGCTGGCTGGCCAGCAAGCCCCAGGGACCCGCCTGGCTCTGCCTCCCTGGCGCTGGGATTCCAAGCATGTGCTCTCACGGCCAGCTTTTTCAGGTGTGTTCTGGGGACTGAACTGAAGTTCCTGCACGGGGAAGGCTAGTGCTTTACCAATGGTAGCACCCCAGCCCAGATAGATTTTGCTTTTAACAAAAGGGTAAGCAGCCGCGTATAGCTAGTATGTACCACCTTCTGTGACAGCTCCAGGCTAGAGAAAGAGGTTGGGCGGCGGTGGACAAAATGTCTTAGCTCTTTTCTTCCCTGCTCTCTTGCCTCCTCTTTGCTGTCTCAGCCGGAGCTATTCATTCCCTTCTTTGGAGGGCTCTGCCGCTCTCTCTTTTGTATGTGACAGGTTCCCCGGAAGGAAGCAGTGGGGACTGTGACAAGCGCTGTATTTTCATACGCAGCAAGGTGAGACAAGCGCCTTGGTGACCTCTGAACTGAAAGACAAGATGAATACTGCTATAAATACAGCTGAATAGAGATTTGCTTCCAGATGGCTCCCATTGTTCCCTCTTCCTCGTAGTATTCATGCTGAGATAATTCCCGGCTTCTCAGATCCGCTATCGTTATAAAACATCACATCACCTCATTTTCATCCGTTACATTCACAGGTCACAAGACTACTTTCATCCTGGCGGAGTTCGTCACTAATGGTTGTGAAATAATGCTTCTTTCTGTTTCAGCAGGAGCCCAACAGAGAGCTTCCTACTTGTGAATTCTTTTATCCCCCACTTCCTACTTTTGACTCTCTCGTCTAAACAATGGGGGCTAATGGAGTTCTCCGTATGCTAGTGTGTATTTCCCGTCAGCCAGGATGCTCCCTGCACCGCCTGTGACTCCACAGGAAAAAAAAAAAGTAGTTTCTTTCCAAATCACCTAAGCCCGAGGGATGGCGTGTGGCGTGGCCACACTTGCTGGAGCCATACACATGGCCAACCATCAATTCACCCAGACTGCATTTCCACAGTACTTTCATAAACTCAAGGTACAATAGAACAAGGGGCTTTGAAGACTCAAAGACATGGGTTCGAATCCTGACTGTGACACTTAACAATATGTGTGGGAGGAAATGGAATGAATTTACATCTTTGATCCTCAGTTTGCATATCTGTAAAATGGAAGGAAGAGTCACTGTTGATACTGGAAGTATTAAGAGCAAGGACCCCACCACAAGTAGAGTACCTTATGCCCTGGGGTAATTATCTGCTTCTCTGAGACTCAACCTTCTCATCCATAAAGTGGGATTGCAGTATCTATGTTTCAGGTAGTTAAAGAGTACCAAGTAAGGGTATATATAAAGTGTTCAGCAAAGTTCCTGATTCAAAGAGCCCCCTCGCTCTTTCTATACTCCAAGAGCATTCCTTTCTCCAACCATCAATGGCTTTCTTTATATCCAAGTTGCTAAGTGTTTGTGTGCTGTGGCCTCCTCTGACTGTCTGCAGAAGTCAACGGACTCTTCTCAGAAATATATTTTCCAAGGAATAAGACATTGTGGGGACGTGACAGCCAGTCCTAACCTGATGGCACTGTGTTATTGCCTGCCCAGAAATGAACTGCTCTATCCCACTCATTAGAGTGCTCAGACCTGAGTAAGAATTTACACAGGCCCCTGTGGTGGCTAAAGAAACTTAATATGGAGCCAGGCATGCCGTAAGGGCCTTTGACCTTTTGCTCTGGGATGCCTGGGAGATCCTAGTGGCCTGCAGGTGAGATAAGGATAGGATAGTGGGCCGTGAGGTATCAACAGCTGCCTTTGCTTCTGTAACACCTGCTTAGCGCTATGGGAAAGGGATGGAATGGTCTTTTTATTACTGTATATCGGGAAAGTCAGAAACAGCTAAGGGAAGTCAGAAGTTGCCCAGCTGTGGAGTCCGTGGATATTTGTAATGCACACCTTACTGATGTCTGCCTTAAGACCTCACCTTAACCCTTCTCTGCACAGCGTGCTGTTTGGCTCCAAGGCTGCCATCCCTCTGCTAGCAGTAAGAATAAATTTATTTAATCTAAATTTGAATTGAGTCTAAGTCCCTGATTGCTCCCAGTGGATTCGAGCATCATAACATGATGCTGTCATGAAGAAAAACAATTATGTAGACATACAATCATCAAAATATTGACAAGAAGCATGTGGCACAGTACTCTGTGTTTGTTCATTACTTAATTAAATAACAGATCTAGTGGCAAGTCCTCCATCATCAAGGAGTATGGACAAGTGTGAACAGTAATACAAGAAAGAAGATACCCACAGCAGCCAGGCCTAGTGGCACAGGCTGTCATCCCTGCCACTTACGAGGCTGAGGCAGGAGGATCAAAAGTTCAAAGTCAATCAGAGCTACAAAGTGAGTTCAAAAACAGCCTGGGCAATTTAGTGAGACCCTGTCTCAAAGTCAGAAGTCCAAAGAGAACTGAGGATGTAGCTCAGTAGTAGAGCCCTTGCCTGGCATGTCTACCCGAGTAGGGTCCATCAGTCCCTAGTCTCACAATGAAATAGACAACATGTCTAACTTCTGTTGGAAACAGAACAGCCATTCACAATCAAGAGGAAGGCTTACTTCCAGTCAATAAAGACATTCACGGTCACAAACCCCATGCCAAGGGCCCTTGCTTTCTATTTAGCAGCCCTGTGTCCTCAGAGGTGGGCCCAAAGTCACAGATGAAGTGGTACCATCAGGTAACGGGCTGCAAATTACCCATTGAGTATTATGTGTCGGGCACTCTGTTTTGCCAGTTTTAAACATGAAGAGGTTAAGGTATTGTACCCAAGGTCACACAGTAGTGAATGGGAGAGCCAAGGTCTGAACCCAGGTACTGAGCAACAGTCTGCTCTCCTAGCTACGCTGTTACACTGCCTCTCTACACAGAGCGCAAGAAGTGAGGTCAGACTAAAACCTTTAGAATTAGCTGGACTTCGTTAACGAGTGGACAGATGGAGAAATTAGTAGGACTGGGGCTGAGGGAACAGAATGAGACACAAAGACCTTGAGGCACACAGAACATGCTGTGTGTTGGGCCCAACAGGACCGCCGCTGTGGTTGCAAATTGAAAGCAGAGAAGACAGTGGCCTCGAATAAGCAGGAAGGCAGAAAGGGGACCCATCTCAGAGCACCTTGAAGACAGCTTTATGTTTATCTTAGAACACTGGGGACAGATTCATCTTGCAAAAATATCCCAGCTGGTGTGGTAGTGCGTGCCTTTAATCCTAGCACTTGGGATGCAGAGACAGGGGGATCTCTGTAACTTCAAGGCCACCCTAAACTAAATAGTAAGTTCTAGGCCAGCCATAGGTACAAGGTAAGACCCTGTCTCAAAAATAATGAATAAAATTATATAGAGAGAGAGATAGAAGACACACACGCACACACACGCACACACAGGTAGAGTGGGTCAAGCCAGGGATGCCAACAGCATAGACTAGGTGATGACTGGGATTCAGAGACATGGAGAGATCTGAGAAAGATTTCAGGGAAAGACGCAGGTCCATTAGCTATGGGGCTGAGAGGTGATTCAACTGTGTAGATGGGGTTTCTCAAAGATAGTTACAACTCTTCCCCAAGGCCATGTGCTCATCCCAGAATGGAGTCTTGACATTCCTCCCATTCTGAGGTAGAATTTATGTTTTTCTTGCTTGAAGCTGCCCAGGCCTGTATGATTACTCAATGTTTGTCCCAGAAAGCAATGTAGCTCCTGCCTGGCTTCTTTCAACTGCTCTCTTGGAGTCCTGAACTGTGTGTAAACAGCAAAACTGCCCTAAGGTGCCATGAAGCCCAGGCTGGGCACATGGATAATGAACATGGAGACATTCCAGGGGTATGTGAAGAAAGACCTACCTAACCCACAGATGCTCTATTCGCCTCTGTCACTGAGGCAGCCACTAATTCTGAGCTAGAACCATTGGGCCAGCCTTTCCTGAGTCCCAGGAACTATGAATAAGAAGGAAATGGTACTTTCACCACTGGGTTTTGAACCTGAGATGTCCATCTTCAGATTCCATCTCTACTGAGTTAGCCAGTTATCCAGAGGAAGGCTTCCAAGGGGACATTTAACGTAATTGGTTTGGGTTATCTGCAAAGGACCCAGAGAGGTGGTGACATGTGGTGAATGGCTTTTAGGTGTGTTATCTTTGCAATTTTAATTACCCAGTCCAGTGACTTGCAAACGTGGGAGAGCTCTTTAAAATTAAAATGCAGAAGGATGATGCATGCCTGTAATCCCAGCACTTGAGAGGCTGAGGCAGGATCTCGGGTCCAAGGCTTGGTTTACACAGGGAGACCCTGTCTCAGAATGAAAGGGTTTGGGGGCAAGGAGATAGCTCCGTGGTTAAAGTGTTTGCTGTTCAAGCATGAGGATCGAGTTCAGATCCCCAACCTCACATGAAAACCTACCATGACAGTGCACACCAGTGATTCCAGCACATGGAGGCAGAGACAAGAGGGTCCCTGGGACTTGGTGGCCAGCCAGTCTAATTGGCAAGCTCCAATTCCAGTGAGAGACTTGTATTAAAAATATATATATAAGGTGGGCAATGATAGATACTCAACATTGACTTTTGGCCACACACACACAAGCATGGGTTTGTATACACATGCACACACATACATATACCACACACACCAACACGTATACACATGAAGGCATTCTCAGATTCTACCTCAGGCTCCCCAAATCAGAATCTTTCAGAAATAGGGAGCCACTGGCCAGCTACCCTGTCTTCTTGCTCTCTGTCATTGTTCTTTACCTTTCTGTCTGATTATTACCCCCCCTCTTGCTCTCTCTCTCTCTTCTCAGGTTTTCAAGATAGGATTTCTTTGTGTAGCCTTGTTTGTCTTGGAACTTGCTCTGTAGTCCAGGCTGACCTCACACTCAAGAGATCTGCCTGCCTCTGCCTCCCGAGTGCTTGGATTAAAGGTGTACACCACCGCCGCCACCACCTGGCCTGATAATACTCTCTTTACATGTCCCAGTACAGAGACAAATGGGGATGGGGAGCTGGATCTTTTGAGAATTTCTGATGGCAGGGAATTGAATGGATTAACTTGGTCATCTGAGTAGCATAGATTCTTATTAAAGGTAATTCTTTTTAAATGTTTCACAAGTACATTTCATATGGCTCTACAGACAGACTAAACACATTCCATCAAAGCATAGATATTAGTGTTAACAGTGGATAGCCCTGAACTTAATCTTCTTTATAGAATAAAATATATGATAAAGAAGAAAGATAAAATTGGTTCAGGGTGAGCAAGGCATGGTGGTGTACATCTATAATCCTGGCACCTGGGAAGTAGAGGCAGGAGGATCAGGAGTTCAAAGCCATCCTTGGCTCCATGGTGCTGTGGGATGGTCTGTCTGTATGCTGTGAATATGTGTTGCTACCATTGGTTAATAAAGAAGCTGCTCTGGCCTGTGACAAGATAGGTTATAGCCAGGTGGGAAATCCAAGAAAAGATATAGGGAGAAGAAAGGTGGAGTCGAAGAAGACAGTGAGAGCAGCCAGAGGAACAAGATGTAGTGGAACACAGCTAAAGCCATGAGACAAATGGCAATACATAAATGAATAGAAATGGGTTAATTTAAAATAAAAGAGCTGGTTAGTAATAAGCCTGAGCCATAGACCAAACAGTTTGTAATTAATATAAACCTCTATATGTTTATTTGGGACCAAGCAGCTGAGGGACACAGGAAAACTTTGTCCATCTACATCATGGTGAATTCAAGGCCAATCAAGAGTACAGAAAATGGTGTCTCAAAAACAAACACACGGCAGAGCCAGGCGGATCTCTGTGAGTTCGAGGCCAGCCTGGTCTACAGAGTGAGATCCAAGAAAGGCGCAAAGCTACACAGAGAAACCCTGTCTCGAAAAACCAAAAAAAAAAAAAAAAAAAAAACACCGCTGAGTGATGATGGTGCACACACCTTTAATCCCAGCACTCAGGAGGCAGAGGCAGGTGGATATCTGTGAGTTCGAGGCTAACCTGGTCTACAGAGCAAGTTCCAGGACTGCCAAGGCGACACAAAGAAACCCTGTCTCAAAACCCACACCCCCACCAAAAAAAATAAAAAATGAACATACACAAAAATTATTTGAAGTGTTATTTGGTGTTAAATAGCTTAAGGAGAGAAGAGAGGAAATCTAATTATAATTAGACTCACCTCTGGCATATCAAAATCAATTTCAATTAAATATTTAATTATTAAAGGGGAAGAAGCAAGTCATGTTAATACAGGAAAAAATATATCATGTTTTCTGCAAATAATAGTTTAAAGTTAAAAAAAAAAATCAGGGGCTGGAGAGATTGCTCAGCAGTTAAGAGCACTAACTGCTCTTCCAGAGGACTCAGGTTCAATTTCCAACTCCCACATGGCAGGTCACAACTGTCTGTAAGTCTGGTTCCAGGAGGCTTGATACCCTCACTCAGACACACATGCATGCAAGACACCAATGCACATAAAATAAAAATAAATCTTAAAAAGAGGGAAAAAATCAGAAGGGCTGTGTTTCTTCCAGTGAGGTTTGTGGGAACATCTATCTCTTTGCCTCTTTTAGCTTCTAGAAGCTGCTTGCTTCCCAGGACCAACCAATAACCCTCCCCTCTCTCTTCCTCCCCCTGCCCCCAGCAAATGCTTGAGAGAAGCACCTGGCAGAAGGAGGGGTTTATTTTGGGTCACAGTTACCGGGGATTTCAGTCCGTCACAGTAGAGAATGCATGATTGTTGTTGAATGGGTGTGGGGTCACGCAGGTCCATGGGAAGAAGACAGAGTGCACTTTAAGGATGTCTTAGCCTTTCCAGCTGCAGGGGGACTCAGCCTCTCACGGACCGAGACACCCCCCCTTAGTCAGGGGCATTTTTATTGCTCTCCAAATTTACACTTTTAGCAAGCTGATTTCCATATCCCCAAAACATCCTGACTAAGCTTCAAAAGGGACAATGCCAAATGCAAAGTCCGGATTAATGA